ATTATAATTATTCAAATATAGAGTCACAATTTCACTCATAACATAAACCTCACTTTAGGCAATTTGACCATATTTGGAAAGCATATTCATCAGGAATCTTTAGAACCTGTAGCTAAATGGTTTATTTCCTCTCGCAGGGGACATATCGCACAAGTCATAGCGAGGAAAAAACACGGGATATACAATTAAGTGGTGATAACATGTGAAAGAAAACTATTTTAAGAGTCGAATGACATTCTTATATTTTTGATAAATGCAAAACGAATAAAGTAAAAGATGACATACTTTACAAGTGACAAACATTTAGTACCTCCTTTACATAACAAGAAGTTCAACTAGCTCGTTGTATTCATTGCATTAGCGTATGATTTGGAGGCAGTGTTACTGCACGTTTTTTTTATTTTCTTCAACAAAATAACCATTTTTCCTGCAGCAAACTGGGCTTAGATAAAACCAACTGTTTCGGAATAGCTAGTGGTAATCAAAGTACTGAAGTACTGAACATAGGATGACCGCAAGTTCTGGTGGATAGTCACAGGCACTTGTCTCAGAAAAAACAAATATCTCTATACCTGAAAGTTAGGTTAAGTAACATAGATTAATTTTCTGAGACAAGTTCCTGTGTGGATGATGAATAAATGACAGAGAATTCAACCTCACCGTAATAATAATTATATTATAGTGATATAATCATGGGACAATCATTTGTTATCAGTATAATCTGGTTTGTTGCTATATATTATATTAATATTTGTACAACAGTTATATATATAGCAGATCATCTTAATAACTCTACCGGCAAATTTTCATCCATTTATACCATCATTCTATTCTACTATTCTAATGATAGTGCAGTGCAAGTGCATGGTGTACACTCTTCTGTAATAATTCGTTTTTCTAATAGGTTTGATTTGAGTAGGCATTCACATTTCTCCCGCTAATGAATATGTATTGATGAAATTAATATATAACAAGCGATAAGGAATGTTATTTTGCACTCGATAATATCCGCGTATTTATGCGAAATACATTCGGTTATCAGTCAAAAACGCAAGTCACGTGGGTAGAAATCTCTGCGGAAACATAACACCGGAATGCCCTCAAGGTCATCCGCTGTAAAAATAAACCCTTTTGAAATCAACGATTTTTGCACATGCCAAAGAATTAACTCAGTATAATAATACAATCAAATCAAATGTATCAAGTCTTGTAAAAATTATTTTCCCTCGGTCCTGCGGATAGCGGGAAAATAAGCTCTTCTCGATTTACATGTAATGATTTGGACATTTACTTTTGACGAAGGTCAGAATTGTATACTTTTTACACTTTAAAATTTTCATTTATAGGCCCTTCAAAATGAAAATAATACTTTATAAATTGTATGCGTCCGAAGCGCTATTTGGATTTACCTTCATCAGGAACACTCAAACCAAAAACAACAATCAAAAGAAAGCCAAAGTGCCCGAACACGTTGAAAGCTAAATTTGGAATCCTAATTCAAATTTCAATAATATCAAAATTCAACGGAATATTTAAAAAAAAAAAAAGGGTATGTTATAACTCATGTCATTACTGAAGCATTGACTCCTGAAATGATAATATCATCGGGACTAACAGTCCACTAGCAGCGGTGTCAACCCAGTGCTTGGGGGGATAGAAAAAGCGCCTTTTTGGATTTTCCTCATCTCCTGACGGACGCTCAAACCCTAAAATATGTATAATACTTTTATATACAAAACTGGTATACCACAAAGATGGAATTGGTATCATACTGTACGTTTATATTTCAGCAAATTATAGATTCTGATCCTATGAGGATACAAATAAGGGGTAAAGTAGGCAAACTTCTTTCTAGGATTATTGACATATTGTTGAATAATTTATATTCATATTTCAGTTCTTTTCAAATAATATTGAGATGAAGGACAGTTACTGTAAAATCCATGGCCACCAATAGAATAATTAGGTACATCCTCATTTTACCTGTATCCTGTATAAAATGATTTTGAAGGCTGAATTAGTCAACAAAATCACTTCCATTGATTCATTTTATCAGCTGTCATTTTTTTTTTCAACAACTTAATATGTTGAGCACATGTAGAAGCATTCTACAACAATGGTCAAGCAAAGGTCGCATGCGCACCGATGCAAAGGAGCTCGAGTTATTGTTTTGCAAGTCAATAAATTTCACTGATTTGTGTCAGCTTACTATTTTCAAATTAAACCGACTGTTAAAAGCGAATTTTTATACAATATTGCGTTCTTGTAAATGTTTGAAACAATTAGAAATATTCTTTAATTATTTTCAAATTATACTGTAAAACTCGTAGCTAATGTCGCTTTAAATGTTAACACAACTTTTTCTGTAATAATTACTCGTTTTCGTGCTTTTAAGAAAAGATAGGTTTTTAAATTATATTTTAAGATCAAATTAATAAGTCCCCTTTTAATTAAAGTACTATAGTACTTTTAATCTTCCAATTGCAACATTTTCAGGATAAATCTTTGCGTCATGTGGTGAATCATATCTGGTCGTGAACATGTATAGTATAAATATTAAGCTTACATAGATTTTTTCATTAAAGACATTGATTGTTCTCATTGATTAATTAATAAATTAATATCACCATTAAGGAATGGCCGCTCCGAAGGAAAAGGATAGGGTTAAGGGATCGTAAGGAGGAAGTGTGTTAAATAACTACCACATATAAGTACACTTAGAATGGTTATGTCAAGGACAACAGGGATTGTTTTATTGATCTCGTTCATCATTCAGTATATCGAGACAAATGATCGTGAAAGAATATACATGTAAATAAAATTCACCTCAAATCTGTGAAAAAAATCCTGTGTATTATTAAACAGCGGAAAAAATTGAAAAAAACATATTGTGTCTTCACACATCAGGTCGTCGCCTATCTTTAAGGGGAAATGTTGCGACTGTCACCGGAGTCACATTTCATTAAAGATTTAATAAGACTCCAATATTGTTTACCACCATGAGTTTCAGATATGATTTTGGTAAAACAATTTTGAAAAATAATCAGTTTTTGAGTTTAAAACTAGTTTATTACATTTATTCCTAATTAATCGAAATTTTCTCCAGTCCAGAGCGGAATTGGTTCTTTTGGCTCTTCTATGGATACGATTTTTTTTTACGAATCATCCTTTTGATATCAGCGGTAAGCCATGGTGGTTTATCTTTTCTGACTTTAATAATTCGGATGGGAATATTTTTATCTGCCTTGTCAATACAATAAGTTCGTCTGTTATAGCACGTACTATAGCATCAGTCACCTAGTGACCTTTAACCCGCAGAAAACCCTGACCATGACAATTTCACGGAAACTTCACAAACCTGATCATCCAAAACTTAACATGGACAACTTAACTGTAACTGAGTTATCCACTCATAAACACCTTGGATTACAAATTTCAAATGATGGCACATGGAACAAACATATTGATGTAATAACCGAAAAGGCTTACAAACGACTGAATGTTCTACGAAAATTTAAATTCATCGTAGACAGACGAGCACTAGAGACAATGTACTTAACATATATAAGACCATTTTTAGAATATACTGATGTTATCTGGGACAACAACACACATCTTTTGATTGATAAGATTGAAAAAGTACAAACAGAGGCTGCCAGGATCGTAACTTGGGGTACTAGGCTGGTTTCTTTAGAGATATAATATCTCGAAACAGGTTGGGAAAAGCTTAAAGATCGAAGGGAGGCCCATAGATTAATTTATTTCTCCAAGATGAAAAACTTAGTTCCAGAATCCCATGCAACTATACATAATCATAATACGAGAAACTCTTTACTGATCCCCCATGTTCGAACAAGAACAGCCCTTTATTCGAATTATTGTTTACCTGCAACTGTATGTTCATGGAATCTTCTCCCTAAGAGTGTTAAAAATAGTTCTTCAGTGGAAGCTTTCAGGAGTTGTGTCCAGTCTCGGGTAACAAAACCCCCATATTATTATTACATTGGTAAGCGATTAGGTCAAATTTATCACGCAAGACTTCGTATGCAATGCAGCTCTCTAAATCAGCATCTTTTTGTAAAAATATAGTGGCCTCTCCGTTTTGTTTATGTGGTGCTATAGAAACCACAGCACATTACTTGTTGCACTGCCCCCGATTTCGCATCATGCGTGAACAGCACTTTTATAACATCAGAATAAAGCATTTCTTGTCAGACGAAATTTTGCTATACGGTTTAACGGAACTCAGCTAGGAACAAAACATCGAAATATTCTTGGCAGTTCACACATTCATACTCAGTAGCAAAATATTTGTCATATGATTACAAACATCTTTTTCAACAGGTCTACAGTGCTTATTTATATATAGAATACATGTACTTGTGTCCGTTCAGAAACATGCACTTTACTATTGTATTTCTGATGTATATGATTTTTTCATATGAAATGTTCTTATCTGTATTAGGAAACGGATTAGTATAGGTTAACAGCTTGTTTCCGGATCCTATAAATTATTCAGTTGTATTAATATGTTAATGTCTAATTGTGTATATTATTCAACTGGAAATAGAATATGTTGACACTAAAACATTACAACTTCCATATAACGAAACAACGACGACCAATACTTTCAATTAAAGTATCAATAGTTTGTATGTTACGAAATAGTATTTTTAACCTTGAGTTTATACCAATGACGATTTTAGAAATTGAACCAACTTTCAAATACATTTTTAAATAGTTGTGGAGTAGGATCTGCTTACCTTTCCGGAGCACCTGAGATCACCCCGTGTTTTGGTGGGGTTCGTGTTGCTCAGTCTTTAGTTTTCTATGTTGTGTTTTGTGTACTGTTGTTAGTTTTTTCGTCGTTTTTCGATTTTTGCCATGGCATTGTCAGTTTGTTTTCGACTTATGAGTTTACATACCCCTTTTAATATCTTTCGCCTCTCTTGATCAAAAAGACCCGTTATTCTATTATTTGAAGATTTTATATTCACGAGTCACTATTTAAAATCTGTTTAATTACGTAAATATAAATCATATGTTTTGGAATAATAATAGTATATATAAATCAAATATTACCAAAGACTTCACAATAATTTCAAATCAAGCGCATATATCTACATGTACATGAATCAACATATGAAACAAATGTTATTAGTCCCATTTTACTATTAGTACATGGCTAAATTATCATAAAATTAATTTCTTTTTCTTCTTTTTCTTCTTGGTTGTTTTCGTTGTTTTTTTCTTTGTTTTTTCTTTGTGCAAGTCTTCGCGTGCTCTGCTGGTAATGTTTGACGGAATTTTTGGCAGGACTACAATTTCTATACCTTTACGCCTTTGAAGAAAGACCTTTTCAGTCGTCTTTCGCTTCTTTACCCTGAATTCCTTTTCCGCAACCATACTTTTCTTTTCGGGTTTAGACAAGGATTTGGGCTTTTTGACAGCTTTTATTATTTGGCTTATGTTGCCATTCATTTCTTGCACATTTTCTTTATTTATTTTTCTATCATTCTCAACACTTTTCATTAATTCTTGAAACTGTTCTTTTTGTTGGTAATAAAGTCTCCTGTCAATCTGCCGTTGTTCGTCCAGATTTTTCCTTTCGTTATCCTTTTGTTTATCCTGGAAATTTCTATCCCAGTCAATGGTTTGTTTTAGTTCTTCAAATCTTGTTCTCATTTTTGCAATGTCCTCGCGCTGATTTTCCTGATATTTTCTGCCTTTTGCTAGTTCTTCCTTTAATAACTGAAATTCTTCTCGTTGTTTTTCATGGATAGTTTTCTGATGATCTCTTTGCTCTACGCGATACAATATATCTTCTTCTCTCTGTCTTTCATAAAGCTTTCGATCTCTTGTAAAAACTTCATTCAGTTCTTGAAACTGGGTTTTCATTATGTAAGTATCATCACATAATTTTTCTATCCATTTTGTATCATTTTGTTTACTTTCATCTTTACTCAGCCTCGTCTCCCGTCTATGCCTTTCTCGTAGCTGTCTTTCATCATCGATCGCTTGTTTCAAATCCAATATATCCTTGTTGTTTTTCTTTATTAACCTTGTGGTTTCCTCTTGCTGTTTACCTTGAATTCTTTTGTCATTTTCAACAGTTAATCTCAATATTTGCATCTCTTCAATTTGGTTTTCCCTTAGTTGGTTTTCCTGTTTTCTTAACTCCTCTTGGGATTTTTTATCTTCCTCTCTATGTTTTTCTTTGATTTTCTTCTTGTGTTCTCTTTGCTCCGATTTCAATTTCAATTTTTCATCATGTTGTTTTTCTTGTCGTTTTCTGTCTTTGTCCATTGTATGTTTCAATTCATAAAAATGGTTGTCTATTCTTTCGACGTAATCGTGTACAACTGGTGCACTGTCTGCAGTTTGCTTAATAGCAGCAAGAGGTCTCTTGTCTAGACTTTTTACTATTTCAGATGTTTCTTGACACACATCAAGTACTGCTGTAATTCTACCTGTTAAGCATTTTTTAGTTTCAGTATGTAGTTCCATACTGACGTTTTTCAGTTCTTGTTGTGAGCGACTATAATCTTCATACAGATTTCCAGTAATTCTTGTTTCACTCTGTCGTAATTCTGTATAGTATTTTCGATCATTCTCTCGTTGTTCTTCGTAGAAATTTCTATCAACCAGCAACGTCTTTTGTAGTTGCTTGTTTCCATTTTCCATTTTTCCTATCATTTCTTGTACCGATTGTTTTTGTGTTTCTTGATATTTGTTGCTAGCATCAATTTTTTGTTTTATTTCTATAAATTCATTAAGTTCTATTCCATGCAAGATTTCTTGTCTGTCATTCATATCTTTCAGATGTTTAATATTATCACCTATATTACCATTCAACTTCTGTAATGTGTTTTGTAGTTGTTCTTGAATCATGTTTCCATCACGCAGTTGTTCGTCTTGAAGTATTATTCTACGTTCACTACTTTGATTCAGATCCTCAAAATGGCTGTTCATGCTATTAGGAATAGTATTGGAAATATAACCTTGTTGTTTTGAGTCGTCTGGACTGCTTGTTTTGACTTGTAATGACGTATAACGTTCAAAAGTTTTTTCTAACTCTTTCAAATTATTATGATATGATTCCTGAACCTCCACCTGGTTTTCTTGAAATTTTCTATTACTGTCAAGTTTTTCCTTTAGATTTAAGAAATCTTGACGTTGTTCTGCTCTTAACTCTCTGTCATTTTCTAATATTGTAATCAACTTTTGTGTTTCCATTTGCTGTTTTTTGTTGTGTATTCTTTCAGCCTCTCTTCTATTATCTTGGAGAAGCATATCTTTTTCAATCATATTTTTTATTATATTAAAATGATAAGTTATAACCTCCCCTTGATTTCCATTGTCAAGGTTGTCCCGCCTTTCATTACTTTGTTCAATGGTAGGTGCCACGTGCTGTTTATCACAGGCTACTAAGATAGATCCAAGCTTATGTTTTATCTCATTCATATTTTCATTAAGAGCTTTTCTGTCATTCTCCCTTTGTTCTTCCCTTAGCTTCATATCAATTTCTATTGTTTGTTTGAGAACTTTTAAGTCCTCTATTTGTTTGTTTTGGGATTCGCTATTATTTGACAAAAATTGTTTCAACTGATCTACCTGACTGTAGGTATTGACAAATCTATCGGTATGTTCTCCTGGTTGGGCGTCCTTGTGAACTTTGTTTGCCTGAGAATTTACTACTGCTTTCTTGAGTTCATGGAATTCTTGTTCTTGGCTTTTCTGGTATTGACCGAACAATTTGCTATGTTCTTCATGCATTTTGATATCACTTTCTATAGCTGTCTTAATTGCTTTCATTTCGTCTTTCCATTCGCCGTTATGTTTTTCTTTCTCTTCAACTAACTCCTTATTTACACGTCTATCATTCTCCAGCAGTTGTCGTAATTCTCTAAATTCTTGAGTCTGACACTCATGTGATATTCTATCATCTTTAAGTGTCTGTTCAAACACGTTCATGTGTTCTTTGATGTGATTAATGTATTTGAGAACGTAGTGATCATCTCCCTCTTCTTCTGTGTGACGACTTTGAATATCTTTCATTCTAATTTCTACTATATTCTTTAACTCATGGAACTCTTTAAGTTGGATATCATGAGCTTTTCTGTTATTCTCTCCCTCTGCTTCATGAATTTTAATGCTGCCCTCTACTGCCTGTCGCAGTTGTCGCAGTTCGTTCCGTTGTTGGTCATGATAGTTTCTATCATCATCAACATTTTTTGCAGAAGAAAATTTTACTTCTGCAAAACTACTTTCATGAAAGTTGGTAGTATCTTTGTATTGTTTGTGTTTTACAATCATGTCGTTTTCTATAAATTCTTTTAATTCAATAAATTGTGTTTTCATTTCATAAATAAGTGTATTCTTTTCTCCAGCGCTTTGATTGTTTTCTTGACTATTTTGCTCCGGTTCTCGATGTTTTTCATTGTGTGTTCCTATATTCTCAATGGTTTGCTTTATCTCAATTAAATGTTGATGATTTGTAGCGTGAAGCGTTTTATCAAATTCGTGATAATTTTTTAACAATTCATTAGACTCTTTGATTCTGTTATCTAATTCTTGATATGCACTCTTTTGCTGTTCATCATATTTTCTAACATCTTCTTGTGCATTGTGACACTTTTCTCCTTTTACTTTTTCTTTGTTAATATGATGAATACCGTTATTCGTCTCTTCCATCATTCCAGTGTCTAATGTTTGAGTATCATTAATAAACTCCTTGCTATATTTGTTGTCATGTTGTCTATCGTGTATTTTACTTTCGTTTTCAATATGTACTCTTAATTCATGAAACTGACTCAATACGACATCTGTGTTCTCACTTACTTGAGATAAATTATTAGTAAAAACTAGTATTTCTGATTCTAGCTTTTCAACATGATGTTTTATTTCTTGTTCTTCTTCTGAAATCCTTTTGTTGTCCAATTTCATTTCATCAAAATCTTTTTGTAACTGAATGATCTTTTCCTGTTTTCTTTCTATTTTTGTTCGTAACAGTCCTTGCTCTTCTCGCAAATCTTCAATTTGTGAAATGCATGTATTTTTGTCGTCTTCTATTGCCCTCATTTTATTATTGGTAGTCGTTGTGGCATTTTCTTTTCCTGCTACCTCGATCATCGTAAAGTTATTTAACTCCTGGAAGATATGATATGAATATTTTCTTCAATAAACATTTACATTGTCAAAGAAAATCTTCATTCAATTGATTAATAAAAAAAGGACAATTGGTGTTCTTGTGCAGTGCAGAGTATGTTTATTTCTATTTGTTTTCTTTCATTTTTGTCGAGCTTGCAACTTTTGTCGCAGAAAGCTCGACATAGGGATAGCGGTCCGGCGGCGGCGGCGGCGGCGGCTACGGCGGCGGCGGCGGCGTTAGCTAACTTCTTAAAAGCTTTAAATTTTAGAAGATGGAAGACCTGGATGCTTCATACTTTGTATATGGATGCCTCATGTTACGAAGTTTCCATCAGTCACATGTCCAATGTCCTTGACCTCATTTTCATGGTTCAGTGACTACTTGAAAAAAAAGTTCAGATTTTTTGTAATGTTAAATTCTCTCTTATTATAAGTAATAAGATAACTATATTTGGTATGTGCGTACCTTGCAAGGTCCTCATGCCCGTCAGACAGTTTTCACTTGACCTCGACCTCATTTCATGGATCAGTGAACAAGGTTAAGTTTTCGTGGTCAAGTCCATATCTCAGATACTATAAGCAATAGGTCTAGTATATTCGGTGTATGGAAGGAATGTAAGGTGTACATGTCCAACTGGCAGGTGTCATCTGACCTTGACCTCATTTTCATGGTTCAGTGGTTATAGTTAAGTTTTTGTGTTTTGGTCTGTTTTTCTTATACTGTATGCAATAGGTCTACTATATTTGGTGTATGGAATGATTGTAAGGTGTACATGTCTAGCTGGCAGGTGTCATCTGACCTTGACCTCATTTTCATGGTTCAGTGGTCAAAGTTAAGTTTTTGAGTTTTGGTCTTTTTTTCTAATACTGCATGCAATAGGTCAGCTATATTTGGTGTATGGAATGATTGTAAGGTGTACATGTCTAGCTGGCAGGGGTCATCTTACCTTGACCTCATTTTCATGGTTCAGTGGTCAAAGTTAAGTTTTTGAGTTTTGGTCTTTTTTTCTAATTCTATATGCAATAGTTCAACTATATTTGGTGTATGGAAATATTTTATGATCTATATGTCAGTCACGCAGGTTTTATTTGACCTTGACCTCATTTTCAAGGTTCATTGCTCAGTGTTAAGTTTTTGTGTTTCGTCTGTTTTTCTTAAACTATAAGCAATAGGTCAACTATATTTGTTGTATGGAAGAATTGTTAGCTGTACATGCCTGCCTAGCATGGTTCATCTGACCTTGACCTCATTTTCATGGTTCATTGGTCAATGTTTAGTTTACTTGGTTAATGTTAAGTTTATGTGACAGTTGTAATAAAGCTTTATATTTAGGACTATCAACATAATATCAATGATTAGTAAAGAAGGCGAGACATTTCAGCGTGTGCACTCTTGTTTTTCTATGGGGTTTCATATCAGGGGCCGTTACAGGAAGTTATCTTTTCTTTTGTTTCACCAAATGATTTATCAGATGTCATGAGGGGAGCCAGGAATTCATTTTAGAGCCAGTTATAAATGAAATCAAATACATAATTGTTTTTTTAACTTTATTTCAGACGTTATTAAAATTTGTCTTCTGTTATTTACTGCCATATCCATTTGAAAATTTTCCATTTAATCGTCAGATAAACATATTATATTACCTCACCAGGTTGACTACAGTATTTATTTACTCTCGATAGTTCAATTAAAAAAATAACATGCTCGACGAGCCTCGATTTTTTTTTAGTTTAAAAATGTAACTACCTCGAGTGAATAAATATCGTAATCAAAGGAATGGTGTGGTAGAATCTATATACATATTTTATGATAAGCATGAAAAATGATTCAGTTTGTGCTTTGCATAATCTTTACTTGATATTAGTATTAATTCCAAATCAACCTATCTGGATTTTCTGTTTATTTCCAACTTCAATATCTAATCAATTTCAATCAGAAATCATGTCAATGCGAAGCAGTTGAAACTACTTTAAATATGTTTTTATTTGAACTGAAAGTAAACAATAGGACAAACCCTGCTTTATAAACATCTTCACTATAAAGATCATGAAAATAATACAATTTAATTGGCCGAAAGCACTTAACTATGTAACGATTAGTTATTGGAAAGATTTATATATGTATTTCATTAATAGTATATACCTTTCAATTGACCATCTAACTTAGTAACCTTGACTGATAGAGAATTTTTGCTGACTATTAGTTTCATAGGTCTTTGGAAAAATCAGTCAATAAAAGATGTCATTAAGTTAGTTTTGTTTTGTGTAAATTAAAAAGTACTCACTAATATGGCAAGCCGAAAATTCTATCGCAAACAAAACTTATTTATATACATATTTTGTAGATTTTAGGAAAGCATTTGATTCTGTAGTGCATGAAGCCTTGTTGTTAAAACTCCAAAACATTGGGATACGTTCGTTTAAATGATAAATTAAAAGCTAAGGCCGTGTTCACACCAAACGCTGCGTACTGTAAACTTGTTAACAATTAGTTTAATGTAGTGGACACTGGTTTCACATTAAAATTTTTCTCATCTGTATTTCATACATGTTCAGGATGAGAACAAATTCACAATAAATACAATTGGTAGGTCCTTTAATAGAGGCCGTCCGAGACGTAGCCAACCGGACGCTCTACTTTGGAAAGGTTTTACGGTCGATCGGAAGAAGATCTAGGTAACCATATTACTATATTCCCCAGTCACACATATGGTGATTATGGAAATGAATAGTATGGACTGGTACTAACTGTAAAAATTACCTTGTCCACGACATAATGAAAATGAATATTTTGTCCTTCAAAATGCAGGACTTTGCAAAAAAAAGTTGAAAAAAGTGAAAATAATTTTCGCGCTAAATAAATGAAAAGTGCTATCAACCTGTGTAAAATGAATATTCTATCAGAAAAAAAAAATCCTCCCGCTGAAAATCAAATGGCCCACTAAGGATATTAAATTTAATAATGTTTTTAAAGGAGCAATTTTTGGAGTGTTTGTCATAAAAATAGGAAAATATTTTAACTCACAGAATTATCATAATAATATTTATTCAATATATTTAACTTCCTTAAATATTCACAATAAAATCCACGCTCTTGATATCTTGTTTTATGAACACTTAACCCACACAAGGCCTACATTGTCTATCGACTGTATGTAGTCAAAACCTGTTTCAAACTACATGTTAACAGTGATTTTTATCAATGAGAACGTAATTGAGTTTAGTTTTAAGTGTAGAGTACACTTACACCACACCGAGTTTAGCTCAATGTGAACACGGCCTAACATTGGAGTTAGACATTTGTCAATGATATACCGTGTATTTTTTATGATTAATGTCTACCAACTGAATTAGATAGTACAAAACTAAATGTTTAATGTATGCCGATGATGTTGGGCTTCTTTCTGCTAGTCAATCACGATTGATTAGATGTTTAAATAAACTAGAAGAATATTGTAAAACTGGTGTATTCAGGTTAATCTTTAAAAAAAAATGTAAATTTTAATAAAGGTGGTAAAATGATTAAATGTAACATTTGTTTTGATGGTGAACCCATTGAAAATGTCAAGAATTATAAATATTTGGGTGTGATGTTTTTCTGCTTCTGGAAGTTTTCTATGGTTTGATATGATTTGATCAAGAAAGTTACTGGCTTTCTTCAAGTTAAAAAGAATTTTTGTTGAAAACATCCCGAAAATTGATAGTTGTTTACATATCTTTGACCCCACGATAAAGTCGAATTTAACATATAGCTCAGAAATTTGGGGAAATGCATTTTTAAAGTATCGTAATGTCAAACAGACAGTCTCTTTGAAATTGAGAAAAAAATTAGTAAGTTTGATTGCGAAAACTTAAGTTTAAAGTTCTACAAAAACATTCTTGGAGTAAATAAAAAATCATGTAATTTAGCTGTTATTGGAGAGCTAGGTCGTACTCCATTGCATATTGACAATATTTGTTCAATTCTAAAAAAATTATAAAGAACTAATAGTTTAGAAGAAGGTCTTTTGTTAAAGCAAGCCCTGGTCACAAGTTTGGACACTTACAAATGTAATAAGTCATCTTGGTATTCTAGTATTGTTTATATTTTGATATGTATTGATGTTGATATAAAAAGTTTTGACGTTAAAAAAGTTAAAAAAAAACATTGATTCGAAGATATAGGATTTACTGAAAAAATACTATAGATGATAATGCAAATGTTAAAAAAGGAAACATTGCACACTTATTTTAAATTTAAAACAATTTCAAAAGGGAAGCATATTTATGTCAAGTTAATAAATTTCAGTATAGAAAAATCCTAACTCAATTTAGAATTAGTGCTCATCAGTTAGCTATTGAAAAAGGTCGATATAAAAGAATCGATAAAGATAAAAGATTTTTATGGGCAGAGAGTCTGAAAATAGCCAGTGCCATTTATTGTTCTATATATCTTGATTACAATACAATGAAATTTTACCCTTATGATCATCCATGCATAGTTACTTTGAACACGGAAAAAGTATGTCATTTGAAGCTGTATTTCTATTCGTGTGTATATATTTTCACAAAATATACCTACTGCGAAATAATCGGAAATAAATACCCCGCCAAAAAGTACATATAAAAAAGTATCCAATATAAGCCTATTTGAGGGATCTCATTATATTTTATGCTTCACATGAGATCAACGACTTTCATTTTCCAAAATGAGATCTTAAAATCGCTTCAACAAATACATGTTTTATATTTAAAATACGTAGCTGTCATAATTGAACAATCGAGCCTTGAAGTGTAACTAGTTTTAAACATATTGTATTTGTTAGAAGCAGCAAAATGAAGGTTTCTCTTGAATGCTGTTTTATTAACTACGAATTATCACTATGGGACGGACAAAGTTATTTATTACAACGGCAGATATTTGAAAAGAAAAGAAAATCGGAATAGTGTATAGATTGAAAAGTAAAAAAACGAAACTCTAATATTTTTTTGCATAGCCCAATAAATTCACAAAAGTTCCATTTAAACAATGAATTATTGCATATTATTCCTATTTCTTGAAATATAGACAAAGATAAAACAAAAGTATGTACCGTTCGTGTAAAAACTATATACCATGCAATATACGACTAAAAGTGATTAGTGTTGGAAGCTGTGTTGGGTGATTTAGAGTTTTTGTTTCTTTTTTTGTGAAAATAATTGATATAAACATTGTTCGGTGTAAAGGTGCATTAGTGGAGTAGGACGTGCTTACCCTTTCGGAGCACCTGAGTTTACCCCAGATTTTTTATGCGATTCTTATGTGCTGCTCAATCTTAATTTTTTTTTGTAAATTGTTTTGTTGGTGACGTGTCTTTTCGTCATTTTTCTTTTTTGCCATAGTGTTGGGTTTTTTTATTGGATTTTTTATGGCTCCTTGGGTTTCTTTTCTCTCTTTATAATTTCAATAAACAAATTAACACCAATGTAACTGTATAATGCTCTGTGCGGTAGACGGTACATTTAAAAATAAATTCGATTAACTTTGAAACGAATTTTGACATTTGGTAATATTGTACATCAATTACATTTTGTAATGTTGGTCATTGCAGTGCGATGATAAATATCTTATTAAATTCTAAATTTTGAGTATTTGATTTTTTACTCTAGAAGATGAATATAATTATATAGTGTTTACCTCTATCTCATCATTTCCAATTATAGTTGTGCCAGTTGATGTTCTTATATTGTCTGATGATGAAGACCTTCTACGTGTTTCTACATCTTCAGGTTTGTCTTTTACCTCTGTAACCATTTGTTTGTTTTCTTCAATTGGCCTTTGAGTTTTACTCACTTGACGAGGACGTCTTGATACCTGGTCAATAGATGTTTCAGTTAATGTATATAATTCTTCATCGGCGTGTCCATTTATTTCTTTAGTGTTCTCACTTCTACTTTTAGGGGTTGATGCGCTTTTTGAACCTGAAGTTCGTTTTGATGTTGTAATATTGTCAGAAGATGATTGTCTTCTAGTTTCCTTAACTTCAAATTTGTCCTTGAAGTCACTGGTTTTCGTGTCGTCTGGACTATTTGTCCTTGATATTTTATTAACTACATGCACTTGCTTTGATGTTTTTGATGTATCTGTTTCATCTTCAGACATAAGATTTGCTGCGCTGTTACTGGCACTCGATGGTCTTGGCGATTCCTTTGATTTTGATGTTGTCGTCTTTGCACTGATTGGCCTTGATGTTTTATTTATCCCCGACGAAGGTCTTGATGTGTGGTCAGGAGGTGTTCGAGTACCTGTAAATACTTCTTCATCAGCGGGTCCATTTATTTCTGTAGTGGTCTTACTCGCACTTGTTGGTCTGGATGCACTTCCTGAACCTGATGTTGGTCTTGATGTTGTAATTTTGTCAGAAGATGATTGTCTTCTAGTTTCCTTAAATTCAAATTCCTCATTTAAGTCACTGATTTTCGTGTCGGTAGGGCTACTTGTCCTTGATATATTATTAGCTTCATGTACTGGACTTGATACATTATTGACAGTTGACAATTTTCCTGTAGGTGAAGAATTTCCAGGTATTTTATCATTGGTTTCGATTGCAGTGGTTACCTTAGATGCTTCTATTCCTGAAGAAGGTCTAGAATGTGGACCAGACGACGACGATGTTGTCCCAGTCACATTTTCTTTGCCTGGATCAGATTGATCTTTTGTCTGGTCTTCATTCATGTTATTCAAAGTGTCAGATGTTTTTGATGTATCTGTTTCATCTGCAGGGAGAAGATCTGCTGCGTTGTCTTTGGCACTCGAAGGTCTTGACGATTCCTTTGATTTTGATGTTGGTCTAGATACTGTTTCATTGTTTCCTACTATTGGACCTTCTGTAACACTAGTCTTTACATCATTGTCTATTTGTGTGGTTGTCGTCTTTGCACTTGTGGGCCTTGATGTTTTATTTATCCCTGACGCAGGTCTTGATGTGTGGTCAGGAGGTGTTCGAGTACCTGTAAATACTTCTTCATCAACGTGTCCATATATTTCTTTAGTAGTCTTACTCGCACTTGTTGGTCTTGATGCGCTTCCTGAACCTGATGTTGGTCTTGATGTTGTAATTTTGTTAGAAGATGATTGTCTTCTAGTTTCCTTAACTTCAAATTCCTCATTTAAGTCACTGATTTTCGTGTCGGTAGGGCTACTTGTCCTTGATATTTTATTAGCTTCATGTACTGGACTTGATACATTATTGACAGGTGACAAATTTCCTGTAGGTGAAGAATCTCCAGGTATTTTATCATTGGTTTCGATTGCAGTGGTTACCTCAGTCGCTTCTATTCCTGAAGAAGGTCTAGAATGTGGACCAGACGACGACGATGTTGTCCCAGTCACATTTTCTTTGCCTGGATCAGATTGATCTTTTGTCTGGTCTTCATTCATGTTATTCAAAGTGTCAGATGTTTTTGATGTATCTGTTTCATCTGCAGGGAGAATATCTGCTGCGTTGTCTTTGGCACTCGAAGGTCTTGACGATTCCTTTGATTTTGTTGTTGGCCTAGATACTGTTTCGTTGTTTACTACTATTGGACCTTCTATAACACTAGTCTTTACATCATTGTCTATTTGTGTGGTTGTCGTCTTCGCACTTGTGGGCCTTGATGTTTTATTTATCCCTGACGAAGGTCTTGATGTGTGGTCAGGAGGTGTTCGAGTACCTGTAAATACTTCTTCATCAGCGTGTCCATATATTTCTTTAGTGGTCTTACTCGCACTTGTTGGTCTTGATGCGCTTCCTGAACCTGATGTTGGTCTTGATGTTGTAATTTTGTCAGAAGATGATTGTCTTCTAGTTTCTTTAACTTCAAATTCCTCATTTAAGTCACTGATTTTCGTGTCGGTAGGGCTACTTGTCCTTGATATTTTATTAGCTTCATGTACTGGACTTGATACATTATTGACAGGTGACAATTTTCCTGTAGGCGAAGAATCTCCAGGTATTTTATCATTGGTTTCGATTGCAGTGGTTACCTCAGTCGCTTCTATTCCTGTAGAAGGTCTAGAATGTGGACCAGACGACGACGATGTTGTCCCAGTCACATTTTCTTTGCCTGGATCAGATTGATCTTTTGTCTGGTCTTCATTCATGTTATTCAAAGTGTCAGATGTTTTTGATGTATCTGTCTCATCTGCAGGGAGAAGATCTGCTGCGTTGTCTTTGGCACTCGAAAGTCTTGACGATTCCTTTGATTTTGTTGTTGGCCTAGATACTGTTTCGTTGTTTACTACTATTGAACCTCCTATAACACTAGTCTTTACATCATTGTCTATTTGTGTGGTTGTCGTCTTCGCACTTGTGGGCCTTGATGTTTTATTTATCCCTGACGAAGGTCTTGATGTGTGGTCAGGAGGTGTTCGAGTACCTGTAAATACTTCTTCATCAGCGTGTCCATATATTTCTTTAGTGGTCTTACTCGCACTTGTTGGTCTTGATGCGCTTACTGAACCTGATGTTGGTCTTGATGTTGTAATTTTGTTAGAAGATGATTGTCTTCTAGTTTCCTTAACTTCAAATTCCTCATTGAAGTCACTGATTTTCGTGTCGGTAGGGCTACTTGTCCTTGATATTTTATTAGCTTCATGTACTGGACTTGATACATTATTGACAGGTGACAAATTTCCTGTAGGTGAAGAATCTCCAGGTATTTTATCATTGGTTTCGATTGCAGTGGTTACCTTAGATGCTTCTATTCCTGAAGAAGGTCTAGAATGTGGACCAGACGACGACGATGTTGTCCCAGTCTCATTTTCTTTGCCTGGATCAGATTGATCGTTTGTCTGGTCTTCATTCATGTTATTCAAAGTGTCAGATGTTTTTGATGTATCTGTCTCATCTGCAGGGAGAATATCTGCTGCGTTGTCTTTGGCACTCGAAGGTCTTGACGATTCCTTTGATTTTGATGTTGGTCTAGATACTGTTTCGTTGTTTACTACTATTGGACCTTCTGTAACACTAGTCTTTACATCATTGTCTATTTGTGTGGTTGTCGTCTTTGCACTTGTGGGCCTTGATCTTTTATTTATCCCTGACAAAGGTCTTGATGTGTGGTCAGGAGGTGTTCGAGTACCTGTAAATACTTCTTCATCAGCGGGTCCATTTATTTCTTTAGTGGTCTTACTCGCACTTGTTGGTCTGGATGCGTTTCCTGAATCTGATGTTGGTCTTGATGTTGTAATTTTCTCAGAAGATGATTGTCTTCTAGTTTCCTTAACTTCAAATTCCTCATTTAAGTCACTGATTTTCGTGTCGGTAGGGCTACTTGTCCTTGATATTTTATTAGTTTCATGTACTGGACTTGATACATTATTGACAGGTGACAATTTTCCTGTAGGTGAAGAATCTCCAGGTATTTTATCATTGGTTTCGATTGCAGTGGTTACCTTAGATGCTTCTATTCCTGAAGAAGGTCTAGAATGTGGACCAGACGACGACGATGTTTTCCCAGTCACATTTTCTTTGCCTGGATCAGATTCATCTTTTTTCTGGTCTTTATTCATGTTATTCAAAGTGTCAGATGTTTTTGATGTATCTGTCTCATCTGCAGGGAGAAGATCTGCTGCGTTGTCTTTGGCACTCGAAGGTCTTGACGATTCCTTTGATTTTGATGTTGGTCTAGATACTGTTTCGTTGTTTACTACTATTGGACCTTCTGTAACACTAGTCTTTACATCATTGTCTATTTGTGTGGATGTCGTCTTTGCACTTGTGGGCCTTGATGTTTTATTTATCCCTGACGAAGGTCTTGATGTGTGGTCAGGAGGTGTTCGAGTTCCTGTAAATACTTCTTCATCAGCGTGTCCAATTATTTCTTTAGTATTCTTAATCGCACTTGTTGGCCTGGATGCTCTTCCTGAACCTGATGTTGGTCTTGATGTTCTAATTTTGTCAGAAGATGATTGTCTTATAGTTTCCTTAACTTCAAATTCCTCATTTAAGTCACTGATTTTCGTGTCGGTAGGGCTACTTGTCCTTGATATTTTATTAGCTTCATGTACTGGACTTGATACATTATTGACAGGTGACAATTTTCCTGTAGGTGAAGAATCTCCAGGTATTTTATCATTGGTTTCGATTGCAGTGGTTACCTTAGATGCTTCTATTCCTGAAGAAGGTCTAGAATGTGGACTAGACGACGACGATGTTGTCCCAGTCACATTTTCTTTGCCTGGATCAGATTGATCTTTTGTCTGGTCTTCATTCGTGTTATTTAAAGTGTCAGATGTTTTTGATGTATCTGTTTCATCTGCAGGGAAAAGATCTGCTGCGTTGTCTTTGGCACTCGAAAGTCTTGACGATTCCTTTGATTTTGATGTTGGCATAGATACTGTTTTGTTGTTTTCTACTATAGGACCTTCTGTAACACTAGTCTTTACATCATTGTCTATTTGTGTGGTTGTCGTCTTCGCACTTGTGGACCTTGATGTTTTATTTATCCCTGACGAAGGTCTTGATGTGTGGTCAGGAGGTGTTCGAGTACCTGTAAATACTTCTTCATCAGCGGGTCCATTTATTTCTTTAGTGGTCTTACTCGCGCTTGTTGGTCTGGATGCGCTTCCTGAATCTGATGTTGGTCTTGATGTTCTAATTTTGTCAGAAGATGATTGTCTTATAGTTTCCTTAACTTCAAATTCCTCATTTAAGTCACTGATTTTCGTGTCGGTAGGGCTACTTGTCCTTGATATTTTATTAGCTTCATGTACTGGACTTAATACATTATTGGCAGGTGACAATTTTCCTGTAGGTGAAGAATCTCCAGGTATTTTATCATTGGTTTCGATTGCAGTGGTTACCTTAGATGCTTCTATTCCTGAAGAAGGTCTAGAATGTGGACCAGACGACGTAGATGTTGTCCCAGTCACATTTTCTTTGCCTGGATCAGATTGATCTTTTGTCTGGTCTTCATTCATGTTATTCAAAGTGTCAGATGTTTTTGATGTATCTGTTTCATCTGCAGGGAAAAGATCTGCTGCGTTGTCTTTGGCACTCGAAGGTCTTGACGATTCCTTTGATTTTGATGTTGGTCTAGATACTGTTTCGTTGTTTACTACTATTGGACCTTCTGTAACACTAGTCTTTACATCATTGTCTATTTGTGTGGTTGTCGTCTTTGCACTTGTGGGCCTTGATGTTTTATTTATCCCTGACAAAGGTCTTGATGTGTGGTCAGGAGGTGTTTGAGTTCCTGTAAATACTTCTTCATCAGCGTGTCCATTTATTTCTTCAGTGTTCTTAATCGCACTTGTTGGTCTGGATGCGCTTCCTGAACCTGATGTTGGTCTTGATGTTCTAATTTTGTCAGAAGATGATTGTCTTCTAGTTTCCTTAACTTCAAATTCCTCATTTAAGTCACTGATTTTCGTGTCGGTAGGGCTACTTGTCCTTGATATTTTATTAGCTTCATGTACTGGACTTGATACATTATTGACAGGTGACAATTTTCCTGTAGGTGAAGAATCTCCAGGTATTTTATCATTGGTTTCGATTGCAGTGGTTACCTTAGATGCTTCTATTCCTGAAGAAGGTCTAGAATGTGGACCAGACGACGAAGATGTTGTCCCAGTCACATTTTCTTTGCTTGGATCAAATTGATCTTTTGTCTGGTCTTCATTCGTGTTATTCAAAGTGTCAGATGTTTTTGATGTATCTGTTTCATCTGCAGGGAAAAGATCTGCTGCGTTGTCTTTGGCACTCGAAAGTCTTGACGATTCCTTTGATTTTGATGTTGGCCTAGATACTGTTTCGTTGTTTTCTACTATAGGACCTTCTGTAACACTAGTCTTTACATCATTATCTATTTGTGTGGTTGTCGTCTTCGCACTTGTGGGCTTTGATGTTTTATTTATCCCTGACGAAGGTCTTGATGTGTGGTCAGGAGGTGTTCGAGTACCTGTAAATACTTCTTCATCAGCGTGTCCATTTATTTCTTCAGTGTTCTTTATCGCACTTGTTGGTATGGATGCGCTTCCTGAACCTGATGTTGGTCTTGATGTTCTAATTTTTTCAGAAGATGATTGTCTTTTAGTTTCCTTAACTTCAAATTCCTCATTTAAGTCACTGATTTTCGTGTCGGTAGGGCTACTTGTCCTTGATATTTTATTAGCGTCATGTACTGGACTTGATACATTATTGACAGGTGACAATTTTCCTGTAGGTGAAGAATCTCCAGGTATTTTATCATAAGTTTCGATTGCAGTGGTTACCTTAGATGCTTCTATTCCTGAAGAAGGTCTAGAATGTGGACCAAACGACGTAGATGTTGTCCCAGTCACATTTTCTTTGCCTGGATCAGATTGATCTTTTGTCTGGTCTTCATTCATGTTATTCAAAGTGTCAGATGTTTTTGATGTATCTGTTTCATCTGCAGGGAGAATATCTGCTGCGTTGTCTTTGACACTCGAAGGTCTTGACGATTCCTTTGATTTTGATGTTGGTCTAGATACTGTTTCGTTGTTTACTACTATTGGACCTTCTGTAACACTAGTCTTTACATCATTGTCTATTTGTGTGGTTGTCGTTTTTGCACTTGTGGGCCTTGATGTTTTATTTATCCCTGACGAAGGTCTTGATGTGTGGTCAGGAGGTGTTCGAGTTCCTGTAAATACTTCTTCATCAGCGTGTCCAATTATTTCTTTAGTATTCTTAATTCCACTTGTTGGCCTGGATGCGCTTCCTGAACCTGATGTTGGTCTTGATGTTCTAATTTTGTCAGAAGATGATTGTCTTATAGTTTCCTTAACTTCAAATTCCTCATTTAAGTCACTGATTTTCGTGTCGATAGGGCTACTTGTCCTTGATATTTTATTAGCTTCATGTACTGGACTTGATTCATTATTGACAGGTGACAATTTTCCTGTAGGTGAAGAATCTTCTGGTATTTTATCATTGGTTTCGATTGCAGTGGTTACCTTAGATGCTTCTATTCCTGAAGAAGGTCTAGAATGTGGACCAGACGACGACGATGTTGTCCCAGTCACATTTTCTTTGCCTGGATCAGATTGATCTTTTGTCTGGTCTTCATTCATGTTATTCAAAGTGTCAGATGTTTTTGATGTATCTGTTTCATCTGCAGGGAGAATATCTGCTGCGTTGTCTTTGGCACTCGAAGGTCTTGACGATTCCTTTGATTTTGATGTTGGTCTAGATAATGTTTCGTTGTTTACTACTATTGGACCTTCTGTAACACTAGTCTTTACATCATTGTCTATTTGTGTGGATGTCGTCTTTGCACTTGTGGGCCTTGATGTTTTATTTATCCCTGACGAAGGTCTTGATGTGTGGTCAGGAGGTGTTCGAGTTCCTGTAAATACTTCTTCATCAGCGTGTCCAATTATTTCTTTAGTGGTCTTACTCGCACTTGTTGGTCTGGATGCGCTTCCTGAATCTGATGTTGGTCTTGATGTTGTAATTTTGTCAGAAGATGATTGTCTTCTAGTTTCCTTAACTTGAAATTCCTCATTTGAGTCACTGATTTTCGTGTCGGTAGGGCTACTTGTCCTTGATATTTTATTAGCTTCATGTACTGGACTTGATACATTATTGACAGGTGACAATTTTCCTGTAGGTGAAGAATCTCCAGGTATTTTATCATAAGTTTCGATTGCATTGGTTACCTTAGATGCTTCTATTCCAGAAGAAGGTCTAGAATGTGGACCAGACGACGTAGATGTTGTCCCAGTCACATTTTCTTTGCCTGGACCAGATTGATCTTTTGTCTGGTCTTCATTCATGTTATTCAAAGTGTCAGATGTTTTTGATGTATCTGTTTCATCTGCAGGGAGAATATCTGCTGCGTTGTCTTTGACACTCGAAGGTCTTGACGATTCCTTTGATTTTGATGTTGGTCTAGATACTGTTTCGTTGTTTACTACTATTGGACCTTCTGTAACACTAGTCTTTACATCATTGTCTATTTGTGTGGATGTCGTCTTTGCACTTGTGGGCCTTGATGTTTTATTTATCCCTGACGAAGGTCTTGATGTGTGGTCAGGAGGTGTTCGAGTTCCTGTAAATACTTCTTCATCAGCGTGTCCAATTATTTCTTTAGTATTCTTAATTCCACTTGTTGGCCTGGATGCGCTTCCTGAACCTGATGTTGGTCTTGATGTTCTAATTTTGTCAGAAAATGATTGTCTTCTAGTTTCCTTAACTTCAAATTCCTCATTTAAGTCACTGATTTTCGTGTCGGTAGGGCTACTTGTCCTTGATATTTTATTAGCTTCATGTACTGGACTTGATTCATTATTGACAGGTGATAATTTTCCTGTAGGTGAAGAATCTCCAGGTATTTTATCATTGGTTTCGATTGCAGTGGTTACCTTAGATGCTTCTATTCCTGACGAAGGTCTAGAATGTGGACCAAACGACGACGATGTTGTCCCAGTCACATTTTCTTTGCCTGGATCAGATTGATCTTTTGTCTGGTCTTCATTCATGTTATTCAAAGTGTCAGATGTTTTTGATGTATCTGTTTCATCTGCAGGGAGAATATCTGCTGCGTTGTCTTTGGCACTCGAAGGTCTTGACGATTCCTTTGATTTTGATGTTGGTCTAGATAATGTTTCGTTGTTTACTACTATTGCACCTTCTGTAACACTAGTCTTTACATCATTGTCTATTTGTGTGGTTGTCGTCTTTGCACTTGTGGGCCTTGATGTTTTATTTATCCCTGACGAAGGTCTTGATGTGTGGTCAGGAGGTGTTCGAGTTCCTGTAAATACTTCTTCATCAGCGTGTCCATTTATTTCTTTAGTGTTCTTAATCGCACTTGTTGGTCTGGATGCGCGTCCTGAACCTGATGTTGGTCTTGATGTTCTAATTTTGTCAGAAGATGATTGTCTTATAGTTTCCTTAACTTCAAATTCCTCATTTAAGTCACTGATTTTCGTGTCGGTAGGGCTACTTGTCCTTGATATTTTATTAGCTTCAAGTACTAGACTTGATACATTATTGACAAGTGACAATTTTCCTGTAGGTGAAGAATCTGCAGGTATTTTATCATTGGTTTCGATTGCAGTGGTTACCTTAGATGTTTCTATTCCTGAAGAAGGTCTAGAATGTGGACCAGACGACGTAGATGTTGTCCCAGTCACATTTTCTTTGCCTGGATCAGATTGATCTTTTGTCTGGTCTTCATTCATGTTATTCAAAGTGTCAGATGTTTTTGATGTATCTGTTTCATCTGCAGGGAAAAGATCTGCTGCGTTGTCTTTGGCACTCGAAGGTCTTGACGATTCCTTTGATTTTGATGTTGGTCTAGATACTGTTTCTTTGTTTACTACTATTGGACCTTCTGTAACACTAGTATTTACATCATTGTCTATTTGTGTGGTTGTCGTCTTTGCACTTGTGGGCCTTGATGTTTTATTTATCCCTGACGAAAGTCTTGGTGTGTGGTCAGGAGGTGTTCGAGTTCCTGTAAATACTTCTTCATCAGCGTGTCCATTTATTTCTTTAGTGTTCTTAATCGCACTTGTTGGTCTGGATGCGCTACCTGAACCTGATGTTGGTCTTGATGTTCTAATTTTGTCAGAAGATGATTGTCTTCTAGTTTCCTTAACTTCAAATTCCTCATTTAAGTCACTGATTTTCGTGTCGGTAGGGCTACTTGTCCTTGATATTTTATTAGCTTCATGTACTGGACTTGATTCATTATTGACAGGTGACAATTTTCCTGTAGGTGAAGAATCTTCTGGTATTTTATCATTGGTTTCGATTGCAGTGGTTACCTTAGATGCTTCTATTCCTGAAGAAGGTCTAGAATGTGGACCAGACGACGACGATGTTGTCCCAGTCACATTTTCTTTGCCTGGATCAGATTGATCTTTTGTCTGGTCTTCATTCATGTTATTCAAAGTGTCAGATGTTTTTGATGTATCTGTTTCATCTGCAGGGAGAATATCTGCTGCGTTGTCTTTGGCACTCGAAGGTCTTGACGATTCCTTTGATTTTGATGTTGGTCTAGATAATGTTTCGTTGTTTACTACTATTGGACCTTCTGTAACACTAGTCTTTACATCATTGTCTATTTGTGTGGATGTCGTCTTTGCACTTGTGGGCCTTGATGTTTTATTTATCCCTGACGAAGGTCTTGATGTGTGGTCAGGAGGTGTTCGAGTTCCTGTAAATACTTCTTCATCAGCGTGTCCAATTATTTCTTTAGTGGTCTTACTCGCACTTGTTGGTCTGGATGCGCTTCCTGAATCTGATGTTGGTCTTGATGTTGTAATTTTGTCAGAAGATGATTGTCTTCTAGTTTCCTTAACTTGAAATTCCTCATTTGAGTCACTGATTTTCGTGTCGGTAGGGCTACTTGTCCTTGATATTTTATTAGCTTCATGTACTGGACTTGATACATTATTGACAGGTGACAATTTTCCTGTAGGTGAAGAATCTCCAGGTATTTTATCATAAGTTTCGATTGCATTGGTTACCTTAGATGCTTCTATTCCAGAAGAAGGTCTAGAATGTGGACCAGACGACGTAGATGTTGTCCCAGTCACATTTTCTTTGCCTGGACCAGATTGATCTTTTGTCTGGTCTTCATTCATGTTATTCAAAGTGTCAGATGTTTTTGATGTATCTGTTTCATCTGCAGGGAGAATATCTGCTGCGTTGTCTTTGACACTCGAAGGTCTTGACGATTCCTTTGATTTTGATGTTGGTCTAGATACTGTTTCGTTGTTTACTACTATTGGACCTTCTGTAACACTAGTCTTTACATCATTGTCTATTTGTGTGGTTGTCGTCTTTGCACTTGTGGGCCTTGATGTTTTATTTATCCCTGACGAAGGTCTTGATGTGTGGTCAGGAGGTGTTCGAGTTCCTGTAAATACTTCTTCATCAGCGTGTCCAATTATTTCTTTAGTATTCTTAATTCCACTTGTTGGCCTGGATGCGCTTCCTGAACCTGATGTTGGTCTTGATGTTCTAATTTTGTCAGAAGATGATTGTCTTCTAGTTTCCTTAACTTCAAATTCCTCATTTAAGTCACTGATTTTCGTGTCGGTAGGGCTACTTGTCCTTGATATTTTATTAGCTTCATGTACTGGACTTGATTCATTATTGACAGGTGACAATTTTCCTGTAGGTGAAGAATCTCCAGGTATTTTATCATTGGTTTCGATTGCAGTGGTTACCTTAGATGCTTCTATTCCTGACGAAGGTCTAGAATGTGGACCAAACGACGACGATGTTGTCCCAGTCACATTTTCTTTGCCTGGATCAGATTGATCTTTTGTCTGGTCTTCATTCATGTTATTCAAAGTGTCAGATGTTTTTGATGTATCTGTTTCATCTGCAGGGAGAATATCTGCTGCGTTGTCTTTGGCACTCGAAGGTCTTGACGATTCCTTTGATTTTGATGTTGGTCTAGATAATGTTTCGTTGTTTACTACTATTGCACCTTCTGTAACACTAGTATTTACATCATTGTCTATTTGTGTGGTTGTCGTCTTTGCACTTGTGGGCCTTGATGTTTTATTTATCCCTGACGAAGGTCTTGATGTGTGGTCAGGAGGTGTTCGAGTTCCTGTAAATACTTCTTCATCAGCGTGTCCATTTATTTCTTTAGTGTTCTTAATCGCACTTGTTGGTCTGGATGCGCGTCCTGAACCTGATGTTGGTCTTGATGTTCTAATTTTGTCAGAAGATGATTGTCTTATAGTTTCCTTAACTTCAAATTCCTCATTTAAGTCACTGATTTTCGTGTCGGTAGGGCTACTTGTCCTTGATATTTTATTAGCTTCAAGTACTAGACTTGATACATTATTGACAAGTGACAATTTTCCTGTAGGTGAAGAATCTGCAGGTATTTTATCATTGGTTTCGATTGCAGTGGTTACCTTAGATGTTTCTATTCCTGAAGAAGGTCTAGAATGTGGACCAGACGACGTAGATGTTGTCCCAGTCACATTTTCTTTGCCTGGATCAGATTGATCTTTTGTCTGGTCTTCATTCATGTTATTCAAAGTGTCAGATGTTTTTGATGTATCTGTTTCATCTGCAGGGAAAAGATCTGCTGCGTTGTCTTTGGCACTCGAAGGTCTTGACGATTCCTTTGATTTTGATGTTGGTCTAGATACTGTTTCTTTGTTTACTACTATTGGACCTTCTGTAACACGAGTATTTACATCATTGTCTATTTGTGTGGTTGTCGTCTTTGCACTTGTGGGCCTTGATGTTTTATTTATCCCTGACGAAGGTCTTGGTGTGTGGTCAGTAGGTGTTCGAGTTCCTGTAAATACTTCTTCATCAGCGTGTCCATTTATTTCTTTAGTGTTCTTAATCGCACTTGTTGGTCTGGATGCGCTACCTGAACCTGATGTTGGTCTTGATGTTCTAATTTTGTCAGAAGATGATTGTCTTCTAGTTTCCTTAACTTCAAATTCCTCATTTAAGTCACTGATTTTCGTGTCGGTAGGGCTACTTGTCCTTGATATTTTATTAGCTTCATGTACTGAACTTGATACATTATTGACAGGTGACAATTTTCCTGTAGGTGAAGAATCTCCAGGTATTTTATCATTGGTTTCGATTGCAGTGGTTACCTTAGATGTTTCTATTCCTGAAGAAGGTCTAGAATGTGGACTAGACGACGACGATGTTGTCCCTGTCACATTTTCTTTGCCTGGATCAGATTGATCTTTTGTCTGGTCTTCATTCGTGTTATTCAAAGTGTCAGATGTTTTTGATGTATCTGTTTCATCTGCAGGGAAAAGATCTGCTGCGTTGTCTTTGACACTCGAAAGTCTTGACGATTCCTTTGATTTTGATGTTGGCCTAGATACTGTTTTGTTGTTTTCTACTATAGGACCTTCTGTAACACTAGTCTTTACATCATTGTCTATTTGTGTGGTTGTCGTCTTCGCACTTGTGGGCCTTGATGTTTTATTTATCCCTGACGAAGGTCTTGATGTGTGGTCAGGAGGTGTTCGAGTACCTGTAAATACTTCTTCATCTGCGGGTCCATTTATTTCTTTAGTAGTCTTACTCGCACTTGTTGGTCTGGATGCGCTTCCTGAATCTGATGTTGGTCTTGATGTTGTAATTTTGTCAGAAGATGATTGTCTTCTAGTTTCCTTAACTTGAAATTCCTCATTTAAGTCACTGATTTTCGTGTCGGTAGGGCTACTTGTCCTTGATATTTTATTAGCTTCATGTACTGGACTTGATACATTATTGACAGGTGACAATTTTCCTGTAGGTGAAGAATCTCCAGGTATTTTATCATAAGTTTCGATTGCATTGGTTACCTTAGATGCTTCTATTCCTGAAGAAGGTCTAGAATGTGGACCAGACGACGTAGATGTTGTCCCAGTCACATTTTCTTTGCCTGGACCAGATTGATCTTTTGTCTGGTCTTCATTCATGTTATTCAAAGTGTCAGATGTTTTTGATGTATCTGTTTCATCTGCAGGGAGAATATCTGCTGCGTTGTCTTTGACACTCGAAGGTCTTGACGATTCCTTTGATTTTGATGTTGGTCTAGATACTGTTTCGTTGTTTACTACTATTGGACCTTCTGTAACACTAGTCTTTACATCATGGTCTATTTGTGTGGTTGTCGTCTTTGCACTTGTGGGCCTTGATGTTTTATTTATCCCTGACGAAGGTCTTGATGTGTGGTCAGGAGGTGTTCGAGTTCCTGTAAATACTTCTTCATCAGCGTGTCGAATCATTTCTTTAGTATTCTTAATTCCACTTGTTGGCCTGGATGCGCTTCCTGAACCTGATGTTGGTCTTGATGTTCTAATTTTGTCAGAAGATGATTGTCTTATAGTTTCCTTAATTTCAAATTCCTCATTTAAGTCACTGATTTTCGTGTCGGTAGGGCTACTTGTCCTTGATATTTTATTAGCTTCATGTACTGGACTTGATTCATTATTGACAGGTGACAATTTTCCTGTAGGTGAAGAATCTTTTGGTATTTTATCATTGGTTTCGATTGCAGTGGTTACCTTAGATGCTTCTATTCCTGACGAAGGTCTAGAATGTGGACCAGACGACGACGATGTTGTCCCAGTCACATTTTCTTTGCCTGGATCAGATTGATCTTTTGTCTGGTCTTCATTCATGTTATTCAAAGTGTCAGATGTTTTTGATGTATCTGTTTCATCTGCAGGGAGAATATCTGCTGCGTTGTCTTTGGCACTCGAAGGTCTTGACGATTCCTTTGATTTTGATGTTGGTCTAGATAATGTTTCGTTGTTTACTACTATTGCACCTTCTGTAACACTAGTCTTTACATCATTGTCTATTTGTGTGGTTGTCGTCTTTGCACTTGTGGGCCTTGATGTTTTATTTATCCCTGACGAAGGTCTTGATGTGTGGTCAGGAGGTGTTCGAGTTCCTGTAAATACTTCTTCATCAGCGTGTCCATTTATTTCTTTAGTGTTCTTAATCGCACTTGTTGGTCTGGATGCGCTTCCTGAACCTGATGTTGGTCTTGATGTTCTAATTTTGTCAGAAGATGATTGTCTTATAGTTTCCTTAACTTCAAATTCCTCGTTTAAGTCACTGATTTTCGTGTCGGTAGGGCTACTTGTCCTTGATATTTTATTAGCTTCATGTACTGGACTTGATACATTATTGACAGGTGACAATTTTCCTGTAGGTGTAGAATCTCCAGGTATTTTATCATTGGTTTCGATTGCAGTGGTTACCTTAGATGCTTCTATTCCTGAAGAAGGTCTAGAATGTGGACCAGACGACGTAGATGTTGTCCCAGTCACATTTTCTTTGCCTGGATCAGATTGATCTTTTGTCTGGTCTTCATTCATGTTATTCAAAGTGTCAGATGTTTTTGATGTATCTGTTTCATCTGCAGGGAAAAGATCTGCTGCGTTGTCTTTGGCACTCGAAGGTCTTGACGATTCCTTTGATTTTGATGTTGGCCTAGATACTGTTTCGTTGTTTAGTACTATTGGACCTTCTGTAACACAAGTCTTTACATCATTGTCTATTTGTGTGGTTGTCGTCTTCGCATTTGTGGGCCTTGATGTTTTATTTATCCCTGACGAAGGTCTAGATGTGTGGCCAGGAGGGGTTCGAGTACCTGTAATTACTTCTTCATCAGAGTGTCCATTTATTACTTTAATGGTCTTACTCGCACTTGTTGGTCTGGATGCGCTTCCTGAACCTGATGTTGGTCTTGATGTTGTAAATTTGTCAGAAGATGATTGTTTTCTAGTTTCCTCAACTTCAAATTCCTCATTTAAGTCACTGATTTTCTTGTCAGTAGGGCTACTTGTCCTTGATATTTTATTAGCTTCATGTACTGGACTTGATTCGTTATTGACAGGTGACAATTTTCCTGTAGGTGAAGAATCTCCAGGTATTTTATCATTGGTTTCGATTGCAGTGGTTACCTTAGATGCTTCTATTCCTGACGAAGGTCTAGAATGTGGACCAGACGACGACGATGTTGTCCCAGTCACATTTTCTTTGCCTGGATCAGATTGATCTTTTGTCTGGTCTTCATTCATGTTATTCAAAGTGTCAGATGTTTTTGATGTATCTGTTTCATCTGCAGGGAGAATATCTGCTGCGTTGTCTTTGGCACTCGAAGGTCTTGACGATTCCTTTGATTTTGATGTTGGTCTAGATAATGTTTCGTTGTTTACTACTATTGCACCTTCTGTAACACTAGTCTTTACATCATTGTCTATTTGTGTGGTTGTCGTCTTTGCACTTGTGGGCCTTGATGTTTTATTTATCCCTGACGAAGGTCTTGATGTGTGGTCAGGAGGTGTTCGAGTTCCTGTAAATACTTCTTCATCAGCGTGTCCATTTATTTCTTTAGTGTTCTTAATCGCACTTGTTGGTCTGGATGCGCTTCCTGAACCTGATGTTGGTCTTGATGTTCTAATTTTGTCAGAAGATGATTGTCTTATAGTTTCCTTAACTTCAAATTCCTCATTTAAGTCACTGATTTTCGTGTCGGTAGGGCTACTTGTCCTTGATATTTTATTAGCTTCATGTACTGGACTTGATTCATTAATGACAGGTGACAATTTTCCTGTAGGTGAAGAATCTCCAGGTATTTTATCATTGGTTTCGATTGCAGTGGTTACCTTAGATGCTTCTATTCCTGAAGAAGGTCTAGAATGTGGACCAGACGACGACGATGTTGTCCCAGTCACATTTTCTTTCCCTGGATCAGATTGATCTTTTGTCTGGTCTTCATTCATGTTATTCAAAGTGTCAGATGTTTTTGATGTATCTGTTTCATCTGCAGGGAGAAGATCTGCTGCGTTGTCTTTGGCACTCGAAGGTCTTGACGATTCCTTTGATTTTGATGTTGGCCTAGATACTGTTTCGTTGTTTAGTACTATTGGACCTTCTGTAACACAAGTCTTTACATCATTGTCTATTTGTGTGGTTGTCGTCTTCGCATTTGTGGGCCTTGATGTTTTATTTATCCCTGACGAAGGTCTAGATGTGTGGCCAGGAGGGGTTCGAGTACCTGTAATTACTTCTTCATCAGAGTGTCCATTTATTACTTTAATGGTCTTACTCGCACTTGTTGGTCTGGATGCGCTTCCTGAACCTGATGTTGGTCTTGATGTTGTAAATTTGTCAGAAGATGATTGTTTTCTAGTTTCCTCAACTTCAAATTCCTCATTTAAGTCACTGATTTTCTTGTCAGTAGGGCTACTTGTCCTTGATATTTTATTAGCTTCATGTACTGGACTTGATTCATTATTGACAGGTGACAATTTTCCTGTAGGTGAAGAATCTCCAGGTATTTTATCATTGGTTTCGATTGCAGTGGTTACCTTAGATGCTTCTATTCCTGACGAAGGTCTAGAATGTGGACCAGACGACGACGATGTTGTCCCAGTCACATTTTCTTTGCCTGGATCAGATTGATCTTTTGTCTGGTCTTCATTCATGTTATTCAAAGTGTCAGATGTTTTTGATGTATCTGTTTCATCTGCAGGGAGAATATCTGCTGCGTTGTCTTTGGCACTCGAAGGTCTTGACGATTCCTTTGATTTTGATGTTGGTCTAGATAATATTTCGTTGTTTACTACTATTGCACCTTCTGTAACACTAGTCTTTACATCATTGTCTATTTGTGTGGTTGTCGTCTTTGCACTTGTGGGCCTTGATGTTTTATTTATCCCTGACGAAGGTCTTGATGTGTGGTCAGGAGGTGTTCGAGTTCCTGTAAATACTTCTTCATCAGCGTGTCCATTTATTTCTTTAGTGTTCTTAATCGCACTTGTTGGTCTGGATGCGCTTCCTGAACCTGATGTTGGTCTTGATGTTCTAATTTTGTCAGAAGATGATTGTCTTATAGTTTCCTTAACTTCAAATTCCTCATTTAAGTCACTGATTTTCGTGTCGGTAGGGCTACTTGTCCTTGATATTTTATTAGCTTCATGTACTGGACTTGATTCATTAATGACAGGTGACAATTTTCCTGTAGGTGAAGAATCTCCAGGTATTTTATCATTGGTTTCGATTGCAGTGGTTACCTTAGATGCTTCTATTCCTGAAGAAGGTCTAGAATGTGGACCAGACGACGACGATGTTGTCCCAGTCACATTTTCTTTCCCTGGATCAGATTGATCTTTTGTCTGGTCTTCATTCATGTTATTCAAAGTGTCAGATGTTTTTGATGTATCTGTTTCATCTGCAGGGAGAAGATCTGCTGCGTTGTCTTTGGCACTCGAAGGTCTTGACGATTCCTTTGATTTTGATGTTGGCCTAGATACTGTTTCGTTGTTTAGTACTATTGGACCTTCTGTAACACAAGTCTTTACATCATTGTCTATTTGTGTGGTTGTCGTCTTCGCATTTGTGGGCCTTGATGTTTTATTTATCCCTGACGAAGGTCTAGATGTGTGGCCAGGAGGGGTTCGAGTACCTGTAATTACTTCTTCATCAGAGTGTCCATTTATTACTTTAATGGTCTTACTCGCACTTGTTGGTCTGGATGCGCTTCCTGAACCTGATGTTGGTCTTGATGTTGTAAATTTGTCAGAAGATGATTGTTTTCTAGTTTCCTCAACTTCAAATTCCTCATTTAAGTCACTGATTTTCTTGTCAGTAGGGCTACTTGTCCTTGATATTTTATTAGCTTCATGTACTGGACTTGATTCATTATTGACAGGTGACAATTTTCCTGTAGGTGAAGAATCTCCAGTTATTTTATCATTGGTTTCGATTGCAGTGGTTACCTTAGATGCTTCTATTCCTGACGAAGGTCTAGAATGTGGACCAGACGACGACGATGTTGTCCCAGTCACATTTTCTTTGCCTGGATCAGATTGATCTTTTGTCTGGTCTTCATTCATGTTATTCAAAGTGTCAGATGTTTTTGATGTATCTGTTTCATCTGCAGGGAGAATATCTGCTGCGTTGTCTTTGGCACTCGAAGGTCTTGACGATTCCTTTGATTTTGATGTTGGTCTAGATAATATTTCGTTGTTTACTACTATTGCACCTTCTGTAACACTAGTCTTTACATCATTGTCTATTTGTGTGGTTGTCGTCTTTGCACTTGTGGGCCTTGATGTTTTATTTATCCCTGACGAAGGTCTTGATGTGTGGTCAGGAGGTGTTCGAGTTCCTGTAAATACTTCTTCATCAGCGTGTCCATTTATTTCTTTAGTGTTCTTAATCGCACTTGTTGGTCTGGATGCGCTTCCTGAACCTGATGTTGGTCTTGATGTTCTAATTTTGTCAGAAGATGATTGTCTTATAGTTTCCTTAACTTCAAATTCCTCATTTAAGTCACTGATTTTCGTGTCGGTAGGGCTACTTGTCCTTGATATTTTATTAGCTTCATGTACTGGACTTGATACATTATTGACAGGTGACAATTTTCCTGTAGGTGAAGAATCTCCAGGTATTTTATCATTGGTTTCGATTGCAGTGGTTACCTTAGATGCTTCTATTCCTGAAGAAGGTCTAGAATGTGGACCAGACGACGAAGATGTTGTCCCAGTCACATTTTCTTTGCCTGGATCAGATTGATCTTTTGTCTGGTCTTCATTCATGTTATTCAAAGTGTCAGATGTTTTTGATGTATCTGTTTCATCTGCAGGGAAAAGATCTGCTGCGTTGTCTTTGGCACTCGAAGGTCTTGACGATTCCTTTGATTTTGATGTTGGCCTAGATAGTGTTTCGTTGTTTAGTACTATTGGACCTTCTGTAACACAAGTCTTTACATCATTGTCTATTTGTGTGGTTGTCGTCTTCGCATTTGTGGGCCTTGATGTTTTATTTATCCCTGACGAAGGTCTAGATGTGTGGCCAGGAGGGGTTCGAGTACCTGTAATTACTTCTTCATCAGAGTGTCCATTTATTACTTTAATGGTCTTACTCGCACTTGTTGGTCTGGATGCGCTTCCTGAACCTGATGTTGGTCTTGATGTTGTAAATTTGTCAGAAGATGATTGTTTTCTAGTTTCCTCAACTTCAAATTCCTCATTTAAGTCACTGATTTTCTTGTCAGTAGGGCTACTTGTCCTTGATATTTTATTAGCTTCATGTACTGGACTTGATTCATTAATGACAGGTGACAATTTTCCTGTAGGTGAAGAATCTCCAGGTATTTTATCATTGGTTTCGATTGCAGTGGTTACCTTAGATGCTTCTATTCCTGAAGAAGGTCTAGAATGTGGACCAGACGACGACGATGTTGTCCCAGTCACATTTTCTTTCCCTGGATCAGATTGATCTTTTGTCTGGTCTTCATTCATGTTATTCAAAGTGTCAGATGTTTTTGATGTATCTGTTTCATCTGCAGGGAGAAGATCTGCTGCGTTGTATTTGGCACTCGAAGGTCTTGACGATTCCTTTGATTTTGATGTTGGCCTAGATACTGTTTCGTTGTTTAGTACTATTGGACCTTCTGTAACACTAGTCTTTACAACATTGTCTATTTGTGTGGTTGTCGTCTTTGCACTTGTGGGCCTTGATGTTTTATTTATCCCTGACGAAGGTTTTGGTGTGTGGTCAGGAGGTGTTCGAGTTCCTGTAAATACTTCTTCATCAGCGTGTCCATTCATTTCTTTAGTGTTCTTAATCGCACTTGTTGGTCTGGATGCACTACCTGAACCTGATGTTAGTCTTGATGTTCTAATTTTGTCAGAAGATGATTGTCTTCTAGTTTCCTTAACTTCAAATTCCTCATTTAAGTCACTGATTTTCGTGTCGGTAGGGCTACTTGTCCTTGATATTTTATTAGCTTCATGTACTGAACTTGATACATTATTGACAGGTGACAATTTTCCTGTAGGTGAAGAATCTCCAGGTATTTTATCATTGGTTTCGATTGCAGTGGTTACCTTAGATGTTTCTATTCCTGAAGAAGGTCTAGAATGTGGACTAGACGACGACGATGTTGTCCCAGTCACATTTTCTTTGCCTGGATCAGATTGATCTTTTGTCTGGTCTTCATTCGTGTTATTTAAAGTGTCAGATGTTTTTGATGTATCTGTTTCATCTGCAGGGAAAAGATCTGCTGCGTTGTCTTTGACACTCGAAAGTCTTGACGATTCCTTTGATTTTGATGTTGGCCTAGATACTGTTTTGTTGTTTTCTACTATAGGACCTTCTGTAACACTAGTCTTTAGATCATTGTCTATTTGTGTGGTTGTCGTCTTCGCACTTGTGGGCCTTGATGTTTTATTTATCCCTGACGAAGGTCTTGATGTGTGGTCAGGAGGTGTTCGAGTACCTGTAAATACTTCTTCATCTGCGGGTCCATTTATTTCTTTAGTAGTCTTACTTGCACTTGTTGGTCTGGATGCGCTTCCTGAATCTGATGTTGGTCTTGATGTTGTAATTTTGTCAGAAGATGATTGTCTTCTAGTTTCCTTAACTTGAAATTCCTCATTTAAGTCACTGATTTTCGTGTCGGTAGGGCTACTTGTCCTTGATATTTTATTAGCTTCATGTACTGGACTTGATACATTATTGACAGGTGACAATTTTCCTGTAGGTGAAGAATCTCCAGGTATTTTATCATAAGTTTTGATTGCATTGGTTACCTTAGATGCTTCTATTCCTGAAGAAGGTCTAGAATGTGGACCAGACGACGTAGATGTTGTCCCAGTCACATTTTCTTTGCCTGGACCAGATTGATCTTTTGTCTGGTCTTCATTCATGTTATTCAAAGTGTCAGATGTTTTTGATGTATCTGTTTCATCTGCAGGGAGAATATCTGCTGCGTTGTCTTTGACACTCGAAGGTCTTGACGATTCCTTTGATTTTGATGTTGGTCTAGATACTGTTTCGTTGTTTACTACTATTGGACCTTCTGTAACACTAGTCTTTACATCATGGTCTATTTGTGTGGTTGTCGTCTTTGCACTTGTGGGCCTTGATGTTTTATTTATCCCTGACGAAGGTCTTGATGTGTGGTCAGGAGGTGTTCGAGTTCCTGTAAATACTTCTTCATCAGCGTGTCGAATTATTTCTTTAGTATTCTTAATTCCACTTGTTGGCCTGGATGCGCTTCCTGAACCTGATGTTGGTCTTGATGTTCTAATTTTGTCAGAAGATGATTGTCTTATAGTTTCCTTAACTTCAAATTCCTCATTTAAGTCACTGATTTTCGTGTCGGTAGGGCTACTTGTCCTTGATATTTTATTAGCTTCATGTACTGGACTTGATTCATTATTGACAGGTGACAATTTTCCTGTAGGTGAAGAATCTCCAGGTATTTTATCATTGGTTTCGATTGCAGTGGTTACCTTAGATGCTTCTATTCCTGACGAAGGTCTAGAATGTGGACCAGACGACGACGATGTTGTCCCAGTCACATTTTCTTTGCCTGGATCAGATTGATCTTTTGTCTGGTCTTCATTCATGTTATTCAAAGTGTCAGATGTTTTTGATGTATCTGTTTCATCTGCAGGGAGAATATCTGCTGCGTTGTCTTTGGCACTCGAAGGTCTTGACGATTCCTTTGATTTTGATGTTGGTCTAAATAATGTTTCGTTGTTTACTACTATTGCACCTTCTGTAACACTAGTCTTTACATCATTGTCTATTTGTGTGGTTGTCGTCTTTGCACTTGTGGGCCTTGATGTTTTATTTATCCCTGACGAAGGTCTTGATGTGTGGTCAGGAGGTGTTCGAGTTCCTGTACATACTTCTTCATCAGCGTGTCCATTTATTTCTTTAGTGTTCTTAATCGCACTTGTTGGTCTGGATGCGCTTCCTGAATCTGATGTTGGTCTTGATGTTCTAATTTTGTCAGAAGATGATTGTCTTATAGTTTCCTTAACTTCAAATTCCTCATTTAAGTCACTGATTTTCGTGTCGGTAGGGCTACTTGTCCTTGATATTTTATTAGCTTCATGTACTGGACTTGATACATTATTGACAGGTGACAATTTTCCTGTAGGTGAAGAATCTCCAGGTATTTTATCATTGGTTTCGATTGCAGTGGTTACCTTAGATGCTTCTATTCCTGAAGAAGGTCTAGAATGTGGATCAGACGACGTAGATGGTGTCCCAGTCACATTTTCTTTGCCTGGATCAGATTGATCTTTTGTCTGGTCTTCATTCATGTTATTCAAAGTGTCAGATGTTTTTGATGTATCTGTTTCATCTGCAGGGAAAAGATCTGCTGCGTTGTCTTTGGCACTCGAAGGTCTTGACGATTCCTTTGATTTTGATGTTGGCCTAGATACTGTTTCGTTGTTTAGTACTATTGGACCTTCTGTAACACTAGTCTTTACAACATTGTCTATTTGTGTGGTTGTCGTCTTTGCACTTGTGGGCCTTGATGTTTTATTTATCCCTGACGAAGGTCTTGATGTGTGGTCAGGAGGTGTTCGAGTTCCTGTAAATACTTCTTCATCAACGTGTCCATTTATTTCTTTAGTGTTCTTAATCGCACTTGTTGGTCTGGATGCGCTTCCTGAACCTGATGTTGGTCTTGATGTTGTAATTTTGTCAGAAGATGATTGTCTTCTAGTTTCCTTAACTTCAAATTCCTCATTTAAGTCACTGATTTTCGTGTCGGTAGGGCTACTTGTCCTTGATATTTTATAAGCTTCATGTACTGGACTTGATACATTATTGACAGGTGACAATTTTCCTGTAGGTGAAGAATCTGCAGGTATTTTATCATTGGTTTCGATTCCAGTAGTTACCTTAGATGCTTCTATTCCTGAAGAAGGTCTAGATTGTGGACCAGACGACGACGATGTTGTCCCAGTCACGTTTTCTTTCCCTGGATCAGATTGATCTTTTGTCTGGTCTTCATTCATGTTATTCAAAGTGTCAGATGTTTTTGATGTATCTATTTCATCTGTAGGGAGAAGATCTACTGCGTTGTCTTTGACACTCGAAGGTCTTGACGATTCCTTTGATCTTGATGTTGGCCTAGATACTGTTTCGTTGTTTACTACTATTGGACCTTCTGTACCACTAGTCTTTACATCATTGTCTATTTGTGTGGATGTCGTCTTTGCACTTGTGGGCCTTGATGTTTTATTTATCCCTGACGAAGGTCTTGATGTGTGGTTAGGAGGTGTTCGAGTACCTGTAAATACTACTTCATCAACGTGTCCATTTATTTCTTTAATGGTCTTACTCGCACTTGTTGGTCTGGTTGCGCTTCCTGAGCCTGATGTTGGTCTTGATGTTTTATTTTTGTCAGAAGATGATTGTCTTCTAGTTTTCTTAACTTCAAATTCGTCATTTAAGTCACTGATTTTCGTGTTACTAGGGCTACTTGTCCTTGATATTTTATTAGCTTCATGTACTGGACTTGATACATTATTGACAGGTAACAATTTTCCTGTAGGTGAAGAATCTCCGGGTATTTTATCAGTTGTTTCGATTGCAATGGTTACTTTAGATGCTTCTATTCCTGAAGAAGGTCTAGAATGTGCACCAGACGACGACGATGTTGTCCTAGTCACATTTTCTTTGCCTGGATCAGATTGATCTTTTGCCTGGTCTTCATTCATGTTATTCAAAGTGTCAGATGTTTTTGATGTATCTGTTTCATCTGCAGGGAGAAGATCTGCTGCGTTGTCTTTGGCACTCGAAGGTCTTGACGATTCCTTTGATTTTAATGTTGGCCTAGATACTGTTTCGTTGTTTACTACTATTGGACCTTCTGTAACACTAGTCTTTACATCATTGTCTATTTGTGTGGTTGTCGTCTTTGCACTTGTGGGCCTTGATGTTTTATTTATCCCTGACAAAGGTCTTGATGTGTGGTCAGGAGGTGTTCGAGTACCTGTAAATACTTCTTCATCAACGTGTCCATTCATTTCTTTAGTGGTCTTACTCGCACTTGTTGGTCTGGATGCGCTTCCTGAATCTGATGTTGGTCTTGATGTTGTAATTTTGTCAGAAGATGATTGTCTTCTAGTATCCTTAACTTCAAATTCCTCATTTAAGTCACTGATTTTCGTGTCGGTAGGGCTACTTGTCCTTGATATTTTATTAGCTTCATGTACTGGACTTGATACATTATTGACAGGTGACAATTTTCCTGTAGGTGAAGAATCTCCAGGTATTTTATCATTGGTTTCGATTGCAGTGGTTACCTTAGATGCTTCTATTCGTGAAGAAGGACTAGAATGTGGACCAGACGACGACGATGTTGTCCCAGTCACATTTTCTTTGCCTGGATCAGATTGATCTTTTGTCTGGTCTTCATTTATGTTATTCAAAGTGTCAGATGTTTTTGATGTATCTGTTTCATCTGCAGGGAGAAGATCTGCTGCGTTGTCTTTGGCACTCGAAGGTCTTGACGATTCTTTTGATTTTGATGTTGGCCTAGATACTGTTTCGTTGTTTAGTACTATTGGACCTTCTGTAACACTAGTCTTTACATCATTGTCTATTTGTGTAGTTGTCGTCTTTGCAATTGTGGGCCTTGATGTTTTATTTATCCCTGACGAAGGTCTTGATGTGTGGTCAGGAGGTGTTCGAGTTCCTGTAAATACTTCTTCATCAACGTGTCCATTTATTTCTTTAGTGTTCTTAATCGCACTTGTTGGTCTGGATGCGCTTCCTGAACCTGATGTTGGTCTTGATGTTGTAATTTTGTCAGAAGATGATTGTCTTCTAGTTTCCTTAACTTCAAATTCCTCATTTAAGTCACTGATTTTCGTGTCGGTAGGGCTACTTGTCCTTGATATTTTATTAGCTTTATGTACTGAACTTGATACATTATTGACAAGTGACAATTTTCCTGTAGGTGAAGAATCTCCAGGTATTTTATCATTGGTTTCGATTGCAGTGGTTACCTTAGATGCTTCTATTCCTGAAGAAGGTCTAGAATGTGGACCAGACGACGACGATGTTGTCCCAGTCACATTTTCTTTGCCTAGATCAGATTGATTTTTTGTCTGGTCCTCATTCATGTTATTCAAAGTGTCAGATGTTTTTGATGTATCTGTTTCATCTGCAGGGAGAAGATCTGCTGCGTTGTCTTTGGCACTCAAAGGTCTTGGCGATTCCTTTGATTTTGAAGTTGGCCTAGATACTGTTTTGTTGTTAAGTACTATTGGACCTTCTGTAACACTAGTCTTTACATCATTGTCTATTTGTGTGGTTGTCGTCTTCGCACTTGTGGGCCTTGATGTTTTATTTATCCCTGACGAAGGTCTTGATGTGTGGTCAGGAGGTGTACGAGTACCTGTAGTTGCTTCTTCATCAGCGTGTCTATTTATTTCTTTAGTGGTCTTACTCGCACTTGTTGGTCTGGATGCGCTTCCAGAATCTGATGTTGGTCTTGATGTTGTAATTTTGTCAGAAGATGATTGTCTTCTAGTTTCTTTAACTTCAAATTTCTCATTTAAGTCATTGATTTTCGTGTCGGTAGGGCTACTTGTCCTTGATATTTTATTAGCTTTATGTACTGGACTTGATTCATTATTGACAGGTGACAATTTTCCTGTAGGTGAAGAATCTCCAGATATTTTATCATTGGTTTCAATTGCAGTGGTTACCTTAGATGCTTCTATTTCTGAAGAAGGTCTAGAATGTGGACAAGACGACGACGATGTTGTCCAAGTCACATTTTCTTTGCCTGGATCTGATTGATCTTTTGTCTGGTCTTCATTCATGTTATTAAAAGTGTCAGATGTTTTTGATGTATCTGTTTCATCTGCAGGGAGAGGATCTGCTGCGTTGTCTTTGGCACTCGAAGGTCTTGACGATTCCTTTGATTTTGATGTTGGCCTAGATACTGTTTCGTTGTTTACGACTATCGGACCTTCTGTTCCAATAGTCTTTACATCATTGCATTTTTGTGTGGTTGTCGTCTTTGCACTTGTGAGCCTTGATGTTTTATTTATCCCGGACGTAGGTCTTGATGTGTGGTCAGGAGGTGTTCGAGTACCTGTAAATACTTCTTCATCAGCGTGTCCATTTATTTCTTTAGTTTTATCAGAAAATGATTGTCTTATAGTTTCCTTAACTTCAAATTCCTCATTTAAGTCACTGATTTTCGTGTCGGTAGGGCTGCTTGTCCTTGATATTTTATTAGCTTCATGTACTGGAATTGATACATTATTGACAGGTGACAATTTTCCTGTAGGTGAATAATCTCCAGGTATTTTATCATTGGTTTCGATTGCAGTGGTTACCTTAGATGCTTCTATTCCTGAAGAAGGTCTAGAATGTGGACCAGACGACGTAGATGTTGTCCCAGTCACATTTTCTTTGCCTGGATCAGATTGATCTTTTGTCTGATCTTCATTCATGTTATTCAAAGTGTCAGATGTTTTTGATGTATCTGTTTCATCTCCAGGGAAAAGATCTGCTGCGTTGTCTTTGGCACTCGAAGGTCTTGACGATTCCTTTGATTTTGATGTTGGTCTAGATACTCTTTCGTTGTTTACTACTATTGGACCTTCTGTAACACTAGTCTTTACATCATTGTCTATTTGTGTGGTTGTCGTCTTTGCACTTGTGGGCCTTGATGTTTTATTTATCCCTGACGAAGGTCTTGATGTGTGGTCAGGAGGTGTTCGAGTTCCTGTAAATACTTCTTCATCAACGTGTCCATTTATTTCTTTAGTGTTCTTAATCGCACTTGTTGGTCTGGATGCGCTTCCTGAACCTGATGTTGGTCTTGATGTTGTAATTTTGTCAGAAGATGATTGTCTTCTAGTTTCCTTAACTTCAAATTCCTCATTTAAGTCACTGATTTTCGTGTCGGTAGGGCTACTTGTCCTTGATATTTTATTAGCTTTATGTACTGGACTTGATACATTATTGACAGGTGACAATTTTCCTGTAGGTGGAGAATCTCCAGGTATTTTATCATTGGTTTCGATTTCAGTGGTGACCTTAGATGCTTCTATTCCTGAAGAAGGTCTAGAATGTGGACCAGACGACGACGATGTTGTCCCAGTCACATTTTCTTTGCCTAGATCAGATTGATTTTTTGTCTGGTCCTCATTCATGTTATTCAAAGTGTCAGATGTTTTTGATGTATCTTTTTCATCTGCAGGGAGAAGATCTGCTGCGTTGTCTTTGGCACTCAAAGGTCTTGACGATTCATTTGATTTTGATGTTCTCCTAGATACTATTTCGTTGTTCATTACTACTGGACTTTCTGTTCCACTAGTCTTTACATCATCGTCTATTAATGTGGATGTCGTCTTCGCACTGGTGGGCCTTGATGTTTTATTTACCCCCGACGAAGGTCTTGAAGTGTGGTCAGGAGGTGTTCGAGTACCTGTTGATACTTCTTCATCAGCGAGTCCATTTATTTCTTTTGTGGTACTACTCGCATTTGTTGTCGTTTTACCACTGACGGGCCTTCGTGGTTTTTTTGTCGTCGACGGAGGTTTCAATGTGCGGTCAGGACTTGTCAGAATACTTGTTTCTTTTTTTCTATTTCTTTCATTATATTTTTCATTCCCATTTTTGAGAGAAGATGAGTCTGTTGCTTTTATTATTGATCTCGAAGTTTTTGTATTTGCAGGAAATGAATGTGCTTTAGTTCCATTAATTTTAGATTCGTCATCTAGGTCAGTGATAATTTCGTCTTTGTTATTTTGACTTTTGGGTTTGGACATTTCGTTTGTTGAAAGACTTGATACATTAACTAAAGAAGACAATTTCTTTTTGCCACAGAATCTCCAGGTTGTTTATAAGTGGTTTGATTGAATGGTTACATTATATGCTTCATCTTATATGGAAAAAGGTACGAACGTTCTTGGACAAACGACAGATGATGTTATTTAGGTCAGATTATTCTTTTGACTTGTCTTCGTACATTTTATTCAACGTTTTTGGTTGTCTTTGATGTCGCTAGTTCATTTACAGTAGAACACCTATGGCGTTGACTCTTATTGAAAATATTCTAAAAAAACAAACAAAACAGAATAACACAAGTAAGTGCCTTAGAAAAAATTTAATTATTTAGACATTTTTGTTATGAAAAAGACAGAAACTGAAACTAACCTAGGCAAGAATTGATTACTACATTCACTCCATGAAGAAGGATATCGACTGGACACATTTTGCAGTATAAAAAGAATTTGATTAATCAATTGACCGATTTGTATAACGTCATGAAGATGACCAGACAGTCTATATATACAGAAGTAAATATGCGTACGGTTATACAGTAAACCCCATTTGAATCTTAAAGATTGTTCGACACAAACAAAGATGAAACCAGCACCTGTAGTTCCGGATTGAATACCAAAAGTTGTCCTATTTGTAAAGTCATGTCAACTCCAAGAAAATAGTTAAAGTTTACTACAAGAAAAAGAGGATGTTAAGTAATAATGTGCTTGATGATGAAGATTGTGCAAATAGCGCTTTAGGATCTACTTATTCGAAATAAAGGAAGTCTAATTTATTTAAAGATGATTGAATAATATGTTTGATGTGAAGTCTGGTTGAAGTAAATATTTTTAACTACCTTCTTTTATACCTATCAATTATCAATGAATTATTGATACAGCACATATCAATAATTCATTGATACACTAGAGAATAAAAGTTAAAACAACTGCAATATGTTAATACAATAAAGAGGCATGAACATTGTAAAACTACTTATTTATTCTTTTCATCTAAATACAAAACTGTGGTATAAATATATTTTATGAAAAGAATGTTATTTTCAAAATATAAAAGAAGACAAAACATTTTTAAAAATATTTTTTCAGCTTGCTTCAATCTACATCAGTTATAGTGCATTATATAACTACGAAGATGACATTTTTTTTTCAAATATTTAATATATTTAAATGTGAAAGTCACATGGTACAATGAGACATTAATTCAAAGCACGTGTATGGTTTTTTTTTTTTTATTTGGAGGCTGTTAGACTATTTATACCTACTCCATCAAGTATTTAACACTTCAAAAAATAAAATTAACAAAGAGACCTAATGGGTAACTTTTTTAATTACAGACCAAAAATTATAAAATCAATAGTCAGAGTTCGTATATATCATATATTAGCATACGTCAAGAAACAAATGTTGATTTGAAAAAATGTATTTTTCTGCAAATATATGGAAGTCAAAAGGACTATAGATGTTGTTAAAATTGAAAATATAAAGATAATTTGATTGACTGGTTATACAGTTGAAAACATTTTAATATTCAACCGAGTTAGACACAAACAATAACCTAATTAATACTATATGTAAAACGTTTTAATATGGGATCTTTTTAGGTTAGTACTATAATTTTTGTTCTTTTACATCAAATATTATATCAGTGTGAATGTTAACTGTATTGTTTAACAGTTTAAATTTGTAAATTAAAGAAAAATGAGTTCAACATCAGGAGGCTACACTTGCTTTATTTACGTTCAGCGAACTAAATAATATTGCATCTTCCAAAGCCGAAAACTAAAGCCGGAAAATTGTGTTTAAACCTGAAGACATCATATTTCAGAGCCTTCCATATCAAGGTAAATCCAATAAAGCGATTGGGACTCCCAAAATTAATAATGTGCTATTTTGATTTTCTAGCAATGAGTCGATACCGCTACTGGTGGACTGTTAGTACCAAAAGACATCATCAGCTCAGTACTTCTGACAAACAAGATGTGTAACATACCTTTTTGAAATTCTCTGTTGATAAATTAAAAAATTATTAAGGAACTAAGGTTAGACTTCCCTCAGGTAAAGTAAATCTTAGATGGATTTGACTATTTTTTAGTTCTCTTTTGGTCATATAGAACTTTGCGTGTTCAGGTACTTATACATCCTTGGCTTTTCAAGTTTTTGATTTGAGCTTTCCTGTTGAATGTAAATCCAGAAAAGCGCTTTGGACACATTAAATTTAATAAAGTATTATTTCCATTTTTTATCGATTATTTTGTATAAAATGAAAAATCAAAAGCTCTGTTGAGAAAGCTGGTAAAAGAGAATGAGATTTTAAAATCCGGAAATTTTTGACAGCGCATATCAAAAGGAAACAGTCCACTTTGCGTCCGGAGAAAGAGTTATAGCTAAGTGTTGATGATTTTTGAAAGAATACTCAAATTATTTGGAACTAAGTGTTTGGGCAAGTCATTATTGCCGTTTTAACTGGGCTAAAAGACATGAGCCAGATTTGAAACCGAACACTAAGTTTATCTCAATAATGATTAATTACAAATTCTAAGTCTCCAATTCTGAAGATTGAATAACCCAGCGATCTTTCACTAACAAACAGTATAGTCAATGAAAGTAATTCATCATCAAAATCAAAAGGGATCGATAACCGAACCTTGGGGTACTCCAGTAGAAACAATGAACAATGATGTAGATGAATATCTGATAACTAACTTCGGTTTACTTTGAAAAGTTCCCTACTTTTCTAATTTCCGTATATGATTTCATTTGAAGTGTAAGTTTACTATGCCATATTTTATCAAGTGCTTTTGTAAAAATGACAGAATACGAAGTATCTAAGTTGTTTCTTTTTAATAGAAGTAGGAGATGGTATAGTTAGTTGATGTACAGCTGAATGTTTAAATTAAAATTCCGACTGATACTTATAAATAAGTTTGCTGCTATGTAGACGGTTATGAATAACAATCGAGTTATGTCTTTCATCGGAAAAGTTCGTCAGTTGTGCGCGCCTTTATGACGTCATTTACCAGATAGAGGGGATCGCCTGTATCCCTGCACTAATAAAATTCTTCAAGCGTCTTCGTGATCGTCATTATGCAGGATAAACTAGAAATAATGGTTGTTCGGTAGGTACTTAATCACAATTCCCTAATGAGAGCAGTGCTGATTATCAATTATAAGAATTTAATTTGCCGAATAGTTCGGGCAATATAGCATTATATTTTTTTCAACCGATCGCTCAACATGGGAACGAAGTGACGATGCCCTTAAACGCACGAATAATGCTCACAAAAACCAAAGTTTTTGACGGATATGCAAAGAACTCGAAAGTGGTCTATTACTTTTACTACATAGCCAGTAGTGATATATGTCGATAATTACTTGTAGAAGGTATGGATTCTCACTTATATTTCAAGGTGCCCACACGTGTATCTTTTTGTGCAATTGTTTCCGAAATAATCAGGTCTGCATCTCAATAGCATTTTATAATTTTAAGGAATTTGTCAATTTTGAAAAATATTCCACTCAGCTAAAAATGAAATTTGTGGTAATAACATAAATCACCTGGCTTCAACTTTTCCTTTATTATGATTATTTTTTAATCTTATGATGTCTTCATACCAATTTACAAAAGTTTCGAGTATTATTTTTTACGAGTTGTGAAATGTTATCACTCACAGACATTAATGAATATTTTACTTTTTATGGACATATACTTGATTAATAAACATTGATTTCTTCACTATACAGTTACTTATGTATGTGATTCGTCCCAGACTTTTTCTGTTTTTAGTTAGTATGATTGTAAACACAAAAACATTCTGAGGAATAAATTATTTTTTGCTTTTCGAATTTTCACCAAATATTTTTACATCCATCATCACGACAGTGGTTGCAAAGCTACTTGTTAATTTCAACTTTATTTTGAATTAGGATTACACAATCTTGATTATGTAGTAGCCCCTTTTGTTGTTTGTACAACAATGTCATTCATTTATGACAATGTCATTCGATGTGTATGAGCATCGCCGCTCTTCAACACTTTGTACAGTGGACCATTCATTGGATAGCAATTCATTCCCCCGTCTTCTTAAATTGATAGACAACCCGTCTTTTGAACGTCCTCTCGGAACAATTAGGAAAAAAACTTATTAAATTAAAAATAATTTTCAGTAGAAATAAACTACTTTTTCCATTCTTTTTCAAAACAAGCAATGCATTTTTCAAGACATTTAGTCAAACAGTTTATTTTTTAAAAAGATGCATCCTCTTCCAAAAAAGAAAAAAAAATTCGGTGCATAAGAAAGAAAATTTCAGCAGGATATATTTAGTATCGATCTTTCAAATACTTATCTATTAAAAGATATTCTGGAGTCGTAAATTTTACGAGATCCATTGATTTCATTTAAATATGAAAACAGAGGAGTGATCAGGAGTTCAGTATGAGTGAAAGATTAAATTGTACTTGCTTGAAAATATTGTGTATAAATAGAAAGTTCTCTTTTGCATAAAAGTCCGGAAAAACGTGCCTCTCTTTGTCGATTAAAATTTATACATTTTCGGTTTATATACAGTTGAAAAAGAGGAAATGCATTTCACACACTTGTCTAAAATGTCAATCTTTACTAAAGCACTCGGTGTCTTTTATGAACAAAAATGTGATTGATAAAAAGAAATATTATTTTCGCCGAATGTTCTTCGATGCAAAAAGATGTGGCCGATTTACCCTGTATTTTTTTTAACTTGCAAGGTAAATATCTAAAAGTTACAAAATCCTACTGCAAACTGATTATTAAACAGTCTTTATCATCTTTCCTAAATATTATTTCCAAATCTGAATTACTATCTGTTGCTCATAAAGTCGTATTTTGTCACAAAACTGAAAATTTTACATGTTTATGTAAAATTTTGCATCGCTAACCAAATTTGAATAATTTGAATCCGAAAGACATTCCATTATAAACCTTCTTTATCATGGTGATTTGGTAATA